TCCAACTCCAACAGCAGTGCCCAGGGAGAGCCTGCTCTTTGCCGGCCAGCTCCTGGCAGAATGCGGACACCACCCTGAAAACAAATCTCAGTTATTAAACAGAACCGAGGCTCCCAAGTCGTTTTTGGCCACGTCACGTGTAAAGGTGTGCACAGCAGTGCTGGGATCATTCAGATACAGAGTGCAGTGTGTACGGTATATATTCTGTGTGCGCTTGTTTTTGCTATTTTGAACTTCCCAGTTAAGCAGAGAGGCAGAGTTTGGAAGAAAGAGCTCTGACATGGCAAAAACAGCTTGGTCGGCGTGTGCGTGCTGGCTGGTGAGCTCGGTTCCTGGAGCAAGTTTCCTCGCCTCTCTGTCCCTTCAGTGACGCGCCTATAAAGTTTCAACGTGAGGCACAAACACTCCAGCTGGCTCTGAGACAGGGAATGTGACAGAGGCCACCCGGACAGAGCTCTTCACCTAGTGGGGGTTCAGACTGCTCGTTCGCTCCCTTCAGAGTGTCTGCAGCCAGACAAACGGGGGGATGGAAGGTTGACCCCCCCAAGCCTGGGTTGCCCGCCGTGGGACACAGGGCTCTCTTCTGCTGCGTAATCTTTGTGTCTCTGGCAGCTTGTGAAGGGCACCTAGGGAGACTTCTCACGGTGGCCACCGGCTGCTCTGTCTCAGAACCGAACCTCTGTGTCCCAAGGGACAGACAAGCTGGATAAGAAGGCAGCAGGTCCCTGTGGCTCTGCGCGCTGTGTGGCAGAGATGTTGGTGTTTGGCGGGGAAGAGGAATTTGTCCTGTGGGGGAGTTAGCCCAGCATCCCCTGGACGCAGCCCAGGCTCATGGGGGCCCCTCCCACGGGACAGTCCCAGGGCAGGGAGGCTACTGATCCCAAGGCAGCTGGGTTTGTCCCGCCCTATCTGGGGACATCAGCCCTGCTGACAGCACCGAGCAAGCAATCTGACCTCAGCCTGCGCTGCCGTCACCAAGGCAGCCGGGAGCTCGGCGCGGACCACCATCCCCTGCACCACCAGCAATTGCAAGTTTACTTTTAAGACTTTTAAATCCTTTCAGAAAACTGAGTTAAAATTTACGTACAGTGAAACACACACATCTGAATGCACAATTTGACGAGTTTTGACCAGTGTTATTCACACCTGTGTAACGAGCACCCAGTCGAGAACTGGAACCCGCACCCTCTCCCCAGCCCATCCCCACAGCCCGGGCCCACTGTCCTGCCTCCGTCACCATCCTTCATTCGGCTTTTTCTGCAAGAACCCACTTACTTTTGAAACTGCATTATTATCTGCTTTTCCCTGAAACGTGGGACTTTTTTATGTTGTATGAGTGGTTCTTGGCTATGGAAACGTGTCATGAGATTTATAATCGAAGTCGAAGAAAACAGAGCTTCTAGAGGCCACTTTGGATCCGTCTTTGTTAGTTCTTGTTGGGAAAGTGCCCCATTGCCTTGGGTGAAAATATGCATTAACCAGATTAGTGTGGGGGGCGTGCAGAGGGCCTTGGGGGTGCGGGGAACCCTGGTCCTTACAGACTAGCGCCTCGGAACCCGTGCTTGGCGGCGGAGCGGCTCTCGCTTCTCCCCGGGCGCGGCGGGCGGGCGGCAGAAAGCAGGTGGGCGATGGGATGGGACCTGAGGGCCTCCGGCCAGCTCCGCGTGTCTGCACGACCTGCGTGACTTTCCTGAGCGCCACGGCCTCCGTGCTGAAGGGGGAATGATCATACCCACCTGAAAGGGTTGCCCCAGAGGTTAGATGGGTGAACGAATGCAAGGGGCCTGTATCAGGCCTGCCCTTCGCTTCTGTAAAATGGCAAAGTTTTTAGGATTCTGACTTCTCTTACTTTGGCTGGGAATACAGTTTTTAACTCTATGGAAGGCACTGGCCCTTGGTCGAGTGTTTCCGATGCCAGTTATCTTCAGGGGCCTGCTGTTTCTATCTTGCGACTTGCAGGACCCTTCTCTTCAGGCGGCGGCCTCTCCCTAACCCCGGGGTGTGAGGAAGCCAAAGCGGCCACGCCTGTCTTCACACCTGTTTGTCCCCTGCCAGGAACACCCTTCCAGAAAAACAGCAGGCGTGGCGTTGCTTGGACACGCAGGTGGAGAAAATGGACCACAGCCAGATAAACTCAGTGTCACCGGTCATTTAAAGAAATGTCAAACCTGGATTCATAATTTATTAATAAAAGCCCGACAACCCAAAACAACAACAAAAACGTTAAAATTGGCAGAGGTGCATGTCGGCAGCACAGAGTCAAACTAATGTAGCCAATAAAATTAAAAAGCTGTGCCTTCTCTCTAGTAATCAGAAAAATGCACATTAAAATAACAGTGAGATACGTGCCCATCAGATTGATCAAGATTAAAAAGCCTGCTATTTGAGGTGCTGGTTAGGCTGTGAGGTTAACAAAGGACTCTTGGGCGTTGCTGGAAAGGTATAAATTTCTGTAATCCCTTTGAAGATTTCATCAAAGGAGCTCTTTTCACACAAGCACAAGGAGACCCACCCACAGATGATCACTGGAGATTGTTTGTAATAGCAAAAAACTGCCAGCAACCCAAACATTTGGGGATCAAATGACTAAAATCTGGTATGGAGTGCAATGGGACTGGGAAGGAGGAAGTCCAAGTTAGTTTTATCTTAACTTAAAAAACAACAACCACCAAATATTAACACTTTGTGGCTCTATATCAGTGGTTCTAAAAGTTATTTTTGTCCCCAGCCTACTTGAGGACTTTTAGTAAAACAAATTCTTAGGCCCCCACCCAGATCAACTGAGTCGGTCACTCTGGGGTGGGACCAGCAAGCTGAGTTTTATTTTTTTATTTTATTTATTTTTTTAAATATATCTTTATTGATTTCAGAGAGAGGAAAGGAGAGGGAGAGAGAGAGAAACATCAATGATGAGAGAGTCATTGATCGAGCCCGCAACCCGGGCATGTGCCCTGACCGGGAATCGAACCCCGATCACCTGGATCTTAGACGCTCAACCACTGAGCCACGCCCAGCCGGGCCAAGCTGAGTTTTAATATGCCCCACATTACCGCTATTCTAGATGACAAAACATGGGTGTTTACCATCTTTTCTCTGCCATTTTCTATGTTTTTAAAATTAAAAATTAAAACAATCTCATATTTTTTCCCCTACTCTCCCAAAGTCCTTCTAGGCTGTAATTTTAACTTCATAACTAAAGCATTAAACTTCTCACTGCCACGTAAGGGTCTCAGAAGTGGACAGATCTCTTCATATCAAGCAAAGGGCAGAGGAAAAATGGGCAGATTTATCAACTCTTATTCAGGCGTGGACTGTCCAGTAAGTACATCGCCCTAAAAAAACGTGATCCCTTTGTCACTTCTCCCATCATCATCGACAAGAGAAACCTGCCCCGCTTTGAGCGCCTTTGGGACGACACTAAGTCCCCGCGATGCTGTAACGTGCGAGACCTGAGTCACGTCCTTAGCAAACAAGCTAGTTGGAGACTCGGGATGTGCACGGATAAGATGAGGCTGAAGGCCGGAGACCTTGGTGTCAGATGTACGGCATTCAAGACTGCCTTGCGGGACTTGGAGGGGTTTGCGGGGCCGCTTTTTGGAGACTCGGCCTCCGTAGAGAGAGAGGAGGGTTGTAATTTCAAGGAGCCAGGTGGACAAAGGTCATAGCGTGGACCACAGAGGTCATGTGGGCGGTCTCGGTGCAAGCTGGGGCTGCGGATCTCGGCTTCGCTTTTTACCCTGTAGATGGATGGGTGGAGCTGCTAGAACGTGTGAGTGAGGAGGTGACTTGGGCGAGCAGAGCATGTCCAAAGAAGACAGCGTTGGCATAGTGTCAGAGTTGGACTAAAGGCAAGAAAACCATTAGCGAAGGGATGTCAGGGCTTTCCAAGGAAGTGGGGCTTAGCTGGTGAAACACAGATCCAGGGTGGGGTGAGGAGGGGTGCAGGGAAGGTAGAGTGTGGGAGCGCTTCCAATGGAGCATCTGGGTGTCACTGCTGCTGTCAGAATCTACCAGGAATGAAGTGCAGTAAGTCAACCCCACTGGGCCAGAGTCCAAACTACTTCTCACTGGGCTAAAATCGGTGTGGGTGGCTGTGCTCCCATGCGGAGCCCCGGGAGGAATGGCTGCCTGGCCTTCCCCAGGCTGCGCGCACCCCTTGGCTGTGGCTCCTCCTCTAGCTTCAGACCTGCCCCACAGCTCTTCCCATTCCTGCGAATGTCCCGCCTCCTGCTCGGGCACTGGGCCCACCCACGGGACTCAGGACAATCTATCTCCCCATCTCCAGATCCTTAACTTAATCACGTCTGCAAAGTCCCTTTTGCCATGTAAGGGGACCTATCCCCAGGTTCCAGGCATTGGGACAAGGACCTCATCTTATCCGTGCACATCCCGAGTCTCAGCTAGCTTGTTCGCTAAGGACGTGACTCAGGTCTCGCACGTTACAGCATCGCGGGGACTTAGTGTCGTCCCAAAGGCGCTCAAAGCGGGGCAGGTTTCTGTTGTCGATGATGATGGGAGAAGTGACAGAGGGATCACGGTTTTTTAGGGCGATGTACTTACTGGACAGTCCACGCCCGAATAAGAGTTGATAAATCTGCCCATTTTTCCTCTGCCCTTTGCTTGATATGAAGAGATCTGGCCCCCCCCGAGACCCTGACGGGCAGTGAGGAGTTGATGCCTTCAGCGCTCCTTGCTTTTCCCGCCCGCCCGCCCGCGTCCCCTCGCACAGGGAACCGGGGCTGCTGACCGGGGCGGCGGGCATTGTCGGTCATCTCCTTCACCACGCGGGGGGGCCACAGTCGGACAGTGCGGGAGCCGGGAGGGTAGAAGCACTCAAACTGCGGCTGGGAAGAGAGACGCGTCAGTGCCGCGGCACCGGCTCCATCGCCGAGCGGCCCTGTTTCGGGTTCGTAGCTCGTGCTGCTTAAAGCACACGCAGAAAACACACTCTGGCGAATGTAGACCAGTGACTTCGGACCACTTTCCTCTCCTTGTCCCAGGTGGTTGGCGTCGCCCAGGCCATCAACAAGAAGTCGGGGAACGGCGGGACGTTCACGGAAAAGGATGAGAAGGTACCACGGGGGCGCCTCCTCCTCGCGGGGCGCGGGCCTCCAGAGGGAAGGCCGCCGGTCCCGGGAAACACGGGGTACAGCGACTGGACAGGGTCAGAAGGGTCCTTCCTGGGCAGACGCAGTGCTGGCCTGGCTGTGGGGACCCCGCGGGGTTTACTCCCTCAGCAGGGTCCCCGCTGCCCACGGCTGTCAGCGTGTGTCGGGTGTGTGTGTGTGTGTGTGTGTGTGTGTGTGAGGTGTGTGTGTGTGTGTGAGGTGTGTGTGTGAGGGGTGTGTGTGTGTGTGTG